TTTAATTGTGAAGTGTAAACAGATACATAACTATGAAAGAACATAAAATATAATAGTAAATAGAAGATGAAAGGTCAGCCAATGAAATAATTTTTTTATAAGTTTGAAAATACAGTAAAATGCTTAAAGCTTTTTTTAGAGTATAGGAGGAAGAGATCAAGTTATAGGGCAAATTTGCTCTAATAATAAAAAATGCTGAGGGATACTGTCTGTGGTCTCTGTATCTTCATGTTAAGTCAACAACTGATCTCAATTTTAAAATAGAGTTTTCCCAGGTGTATGGTTGGCTCATTCACAAGCATCCAACTCTTGATTTCAGCTCAGATCATGATCTCACAAATGAGATTGAGTTCTGCACTGACAGCACGGAACCTGCTTGGGATTCTCTTTCTTCCTCTTTTTCTGCCTCTCCCCCACTCGAGTGCTCTCTGTCTCAAAATAAATAAATGGATATTTTAAAAAAATAAAATAGAGTTTTCCCAAACATACCTGAAAGCTATTCTAGATAATAAAGGGAATAGAAAGGTACAGAGTCTTTTTTTTTTTTATTTTTATTTTTTTAACGTTTATTGATTATTGAGAGACCGAGAGTGAGCAGAGGAGGGGCAGAGAAAGAGGGAGACACAGAATCTGAAGCAGGCTCCAGGCTCTGAGCTGTCCTCACAGAGCCCGACACAGGGCTCAAACTCACAAACTGTGAGATCATGACCTGAGCTGAAGTTGGACGCTTAACCCACTGAGCCACCCAGGCGCCCCTGTACAGAGTCTTTCTTTACCTTTTAATTCCAGATTGTTGCATTTTTCTTAGTCAAATAGATTTCTCTCTCTCTTTAAGTTTATTTATTTGAGAGAGAGCACAAGTAGGAGAGGAGCAGAGAGAGAGGGAGAGAAAGAGAAACGCAAGCAGGCTCTGCACTGTGCCAATGCACGGCTCAAACTCACTAACTGTGAGATCATGACCTGATCTGAGATCAGACAGTTAACTGGCTGAGCCACCCAGGCACCCCCAAATAGGTTTCTCTTTTATCCTAATGTTTGTCCTACCTTTATTACCATGGCCAAATGGAAGCAAAAGTAGTAAAGATTGAATACAGATTGGGAGCTGTATTGAACCTATCAGTCCGTGAACAAGGGGGGGAAAAAGTAAAATGTTTTTCCTTGGAAACTGACTTCTATTTTATTTATAAGCATTTAATAATATAGACTCTTTGATATTTATGTTTTATTTGAATTCATTTGATTCATTCACGAATCATACATTGATGGGGTGCCTGGGTGGCTCAGTGGGTGGCTCAGGTGGCTTAGAAACTCCCTGGGTGGCTCACTGAGACTTTTGTCCTCTCAGTCCCAAGATCAACTTATTTCGGTTGAGCATCCCAACTCTTGATTTCGGATTAGGTCGTGATCCCAGGGTCATGGAATCAAGCCTCATGTGATTCGCTCTCTTGCTCTCTTTCTCTCTTTCTGTCTTTCTGTCTGCCCCTCTCCCCAACTTGAATGCGTTCTCTGTCTCTCTCTAAAAAAATAAAGTAATAAAATAAAAATTATAGAAAAAACAAATCTTGGTTTATAACATGTAGGAAATCGCTGAGCAGAACCATGACACACATAGGCAGTCAACTATTTATCAAATCTAAATAAAGGTCTCTAGTCAGTGATTCTCAAGCAGGGGTAAGGGTTTCCTTTTCCAGAGGGAAAAGAAAAAGGTATCTGAATGCCTGAGAAGAATTGTTTTCCCAAATACTACCATCTCCCAGAGATTCTTGTGTGTCCCTCTTCCATGCAATAGTGTTTGAGCATATTGACTCCTTCTCCAACACCTGAGTCCCATTGAAACAGAAGAATTGTAGTGAACAACTGAAAAAGTATTTTATAAATCAGAGTCATAAAGCCAGTTTTAAATTTCATTTTTCTGCTACAGATTAAAGAAAGTAGGGCATAGAATATAACCTTGAACTACACTGAAAAATAACTTAGGGGATCCATTGGATTTCGTTTGAGTAGAACTCTAGAGAGCTAGAGATCATAAAGATTTTTCTCTTTTTACTGAACTGTATAAATGGACATACAATACCCCATTAGTTTCAGGTGTATATCATAGTGATTCAGTATTTTTATACATTGTTAAATGATTCCCACAGTAAGTCTGGCTACCATCTGTCACTACAAAGTTACTGCATTGTTACTGACCATATTCCCTATGGTGTACATTAGGTGAAGGGGATTAAGAGGTACAAATTTTCAGTTATAAAATAAGTGATGGGGATGTACTATAGATCATAAAGATGTTTAGGGAAGGAGAATGAAATAGAATAGCCACTCCGAAAAAGATTTCTACAGCTGGGTACATTGTCAACATCACTGTTGATCTTGGGCTAAATTTCTACTATAAACCAAAGGTATAAAAAGAGATACATATATTCCCTTACCTACTTTTTCTTTCCTAGCAGCAGCATTTCAGTAATTAATTTGTAATGTTACTAAAGAATGAGAAAATCTGGCTATAAGCCTATAAGAAATCAATGTCTCACATTGGGTTATCATATACTGAAAGCATTAAAAAGAAAAAAGACCCTTCTATAAACTTACGTGTACTTA